TAAAAGTCCAGTATCACACATTGCTTCTGTTTCTGGACTTGATGTACATCCAAAATGTAGAAACATATTTTGTGGGTTTTTTTTTCTTAAAATAGTTTCAACATCTTTGTATCTGCTCATATATTTCTTCAGAATCCAAATTGCAGATAGGCACTGATTACATCCTTCTAGTAAGTCTTTGTGATCTGTTGCCTGTAACATAATCCTTTCAAATAATAAATAATTGTGAAGGAATTCTGTTGAGAGTTCTTCTGGAATGAACCAGCTCTTGTTAAGGGCCTTAGAATGCTGAAGAAATGGATGCTGTGCAAAACGAATTGCTGGTAATAAATCAACATAATGCAAATTATATCAAATTAAAATTGAGTGCCTTAATGAACTGTGATCACAAGTGTGCTTCACTGCTCCAAGTACAGAAACTGCGTGCAGCCAGCAGGCAGCAACCTCCCAGGAAGCCAGGCCTTTGGAAGCCAATCCACCGGTTAATATTCTCATTTGTGCCCTTCTTCAGAGTCTGCTAGGTTTCCTCACTGATTTCCTAGTTCTAGCCCCACAGTCAGGTTCATAGCTGCCTTTAGGTTGCCCTTTTGTATATACCTGACCATTGGTCAATTATTAGACCCATAAACTATGAACACTGAAAAGCACCATAAAAATGACCTAAACCACCTATCAATATTTTAAAGATGAGAAAAAGTAGGTCCACCAGGTTAAATGACCGGCTGACCTAAACCCATATTCTTCTAGGACTCCTAAATCCTAACCCAAGCTAATCCCAATCAAGAGAGACCTAATATTATTTTTAGAAATTAAATTTCTAGTTGAATAATTTAAAAAAGAATTCAGTAGGCTTAAAAATCCTTTTTAATGTTTTTCTTAGTTAAGAAAATGTGAACTATATTTTTTTCTGTAGTGGAATATGTGAAGATTTACTTTCTGCTTACTTATCAATTTATAATATTCAAACTGCTTTCATATGCATTTAAATTTTTTCAGATATCAAAAGGGCAGTTGAATATAGTGGTCAAAAGTAAGATCTCTGGCCCTGGCCAGGTGGCTCAGTTGGTTGGAGCATCCTCCCATACACCAAAAGGTGGCAGGTTCAATTCCCTGTCAGGGCACATACCCAGGTTTCACCTTCAATCCCAGGTTGGGGTGCGGAAGCAGTCTTCCTTCCTTCCTTCCTTCCTTCCTTTCTCTCTCTCTCTCTCTCTCTCTCTCTCTCTCTCCTTTCCTCTCTCTAAATATCTGTTTTTTAAAAAAGTAAGAGCTGCCCTGGCCAGTTTGGCTCAGTGGATAGAGCATCGGCCTGCGGACTGGAGGGTCCGTTCAATTACGGTCAAGGGCACATGCCTGGGTTGTGGGCTCGGTCCCCAGTGCGGGGCATGCAGGAGGCAGCCAATCAGTGATTCTCTCTCATCATTGATGTTTCTATCTCTCTCTCCCTCTTCCTTCCTCTCTGAAATCAATAAAAATATATTTTTTAAAAAAAGTAAGATCTCTGGAGCCAGACTACCCTGGGTTTAATTCTCAGCTAGTCCATTTAGTAGTTGTATGATCTTGAGCAAGTTATTTAACTTCTCTGAGTTGTAATCTCATCATCCTTTTAATGGGGACAATTCTTCCTAATTCAGAGTTGTGGTTCAATTAATGCTGCTCTGAATACTGTACACACTCAATGTTAGCTATTGTTATTATGTCATGAAATTCTGAGAACTAGTGGTAAAGTATCTGAAGACCTGAACGGGTTAATGTTAAGCAGAAGAATCGGGGCAGGAAGCTTGAACTAGAGCAGGTGCCTCCCTGCAACACTGCATTTATTGGAGGAGGCTGAACGCAGGTCTTCTGACACATCTGCAGGGCGGCTAAGTCAGGAAGATTTCAACCACAGATCTGTACCTGCCTCAATAAGTGAATAAAACAGGTTATACAAATGGGCTGAAAAATGTGCTTACGGATACAGCGACATTCACCCACCGTGCCACAGGAGGCACACTGGTGTGCCTTAAGCATTTTCAAAACATGCAAGGATACTGGCCTTTTTTCCCCTTATGATAACAGCCCCCTGGTATGAATGCCCTGTCTTGAATCATAAGCATATAGGTCATATTACCAGATATTCTTATGTACACGTATAGGCACCTGTTTTTTTAAAAGTCACTTTGGAACAAAAAGGGTATTAGTTACTATTATTATTTTTGTAAATCAATCAAAATTATACTTATTTTTGTCAGATTGGCAAAAAATATATTTATTTGGTGTGCAGCAGAATTTTAGCAATTAGTTTATGTGTGCTATGAGATGAAAACGGTTGAAAATTGCTGCACTGTTATTGTATTGCTGTACTCAATACAACCTCTACTATTAAAACAAAGCATAGACCCTAGCCAGTTTGGCTCAGTGGATAGAGCATTGGCCTGTGGACCAAAGGGTCCCGGGTTTGATTCTGGTCAAGGTCACGTAACTTGGTTGCAGGCTCTTCCCCAGCCTGAACCCTGGACCAGACTCGTGCAGGAGGCAACCAATTGATGTGTTTCTCTTACACTGATGTTTCTTTCTGTCTTTCCCTCTCTCTTCCACTCTCCCTAAAAGTCAATAGAAAAATATCCTTGGGTGAGGATTAACCAAAAATAACCCCCCCCCCAAAAACAAACAAAACAAAACAAAAATAACCCACAAAGCATAGAAGAAAAGTTAGAGAAATGGCGAAGCTGATGTGGCTTGGTTGTTAAGCCTTGACCTATGATCCAGGAGGTCATGGGTTTGATTCCCAGTCCGGGCACATGTCCTGGTTGCTGGCCCAGCTTGATCCCCAGAGCGGGGCATGCAGGAGGCAGCCGATCAATGATTCTTTCTCATCATTGATGTTTCTATCTCTCTCTCCCTCTCCATTTCTCTCTGAAATCAATAAAAATATATTTATAAAAACGGCTTTAAAAAGATTAGAGAAATGATAGCAAGCAAATATTCCAAAATATCAGAAGCTTTTGCCACGAATGGTAGGATTATGGTAACTGTGTTTTTATAATTCTCTGTACTTTCTAAGTGTTCTGTATTGAGCACAGTATTGTTTTGATAATCAGGAAAGAAAAGGAGAAAAGCAAAATAATTTCAGTTAAAACTTGAAATCTGCCTTATCACAATTGAGTCAAATAATAGAGTATGAAGAGGGATAGATGAGGAAGAAAGATTTAAAATCTAAATGTTCATTTTAGAAGGCTTTTGTTAATCTGAATTAAATCAAGAATCGTCAGAACCACAGTTGGCTTTTGAACCTGGCATTTCAGATTAAAATTAAACAAATGTTAAGGGCATTACGCAAAGGCCGACCACCTCGTTAAGAAAATAGATACAACATGTACTTTTAACACAACAGGGCCGCGCGCTTGTCTTCCCTAGAGCGAGTGACCCGCTAAGAAGTTTTCCCACAAGAGGGCGGTAACTGCCCAGGTTTTCTTTAAGACGGAGCGTGAAGGAACTCGGCGCTGGAGGCGAAGCAGCCAAGAGGATAAAAGAACTTTTCTCACCGAAGAATAAGGAGCCGCACACGCGGCGAAAAGAACCAATACCGGCACATTCACGCACCCGCAAATCAGAAGCAACGACTTCTAGCGGGACATCAAAAGGAACTAACTAGTTTACAGATTCGCCTTAAAATCATCTAAATGATGTTCAACGGACCTCATTTGTACGTCCAGGTATAAGCTTTTCAAGGCCATTCACATCAGATTCTGTTTATTCTGGTGGCTCACACTGGGTTAGCACTTCATTCTGCTAGGAAACTGTAGCAACCCGCAGACATTCCTTCAAGCACACGATTCCACGCTGGATCCCGTTTTCCAGAATATACTTTAAAGCAAGTTGGTTC